GCGCCACCAGGGAGGGCCAGGTATCTCATGCGGAAGTGGCTTAGTTTCTTAGTGCAGTGCTTTAACCCACTGCGCCACCAGGGAGGGCCAGGTATAAGATTTTTAAAGTAACGGTAATAATATTGTTAAAAACATAGGCATACTGGTATATATGTGTGTGTGTGTGTATGTGTATATATATATATATCTCCAACTTAAACAAGGATATATATTACTACTTATTAAATGTCATAAGATGTAATATTAAAAAATTTAAAATTCTGTAATTTCTCTCAAGATTGTTAAGCAGACTTTCAGTTATTTAATTCTGCATATGTAGTTAAACTTTAAAAAATAATCTTTGCAATTGTTAAGACAAAGATTTTTATTAACCCACTTCAGTTTCAATTGGGGTGAAAGACTCAGTAGAGATTAATTATTTTAATATACTAACTACACAGAATAATATTTATTTTTTATAGATTATGGGTTACTTGATTAACATCAATTGTAAAAAATAGTGGGTCAACAAAACATAATTTTAGAATATTTGATTCCCATTCCCCTGACAAGTTGGTATTGTGAATATGTGAAAAGTTCCCATCCCATTCCAAAATGAGAGATACTGGACGCAATTTGGTAACAATAACATTTGATCTCCAAGTAAGAAAGGAAAATTTCTAGGTATCCCATACAAATGTTGGTCACTGAGAGCTGAAGCTCAGCAGCCTCAGTGATAAGGCCTTTAATTATAGACTGCAGGCCCTTGTAGAAGGGAGCTGGAAATGATTTAACTTCTTATATTAAAAAGGCAAAAAGGGCCCTCCCTGGTGGCGCAGTGGGTTAAAGCACAGCATTAAGAAACTAAAGCCACTTCAGCGTGAGTTCGATTCCCACCCCGAAGGTGACCCACATGGCGTGGCAGACCTCTCCTGGCCTGCCTGCTGCTCCCCTTAGCACTGTACTTCATCAGTCGGCGTGTTCTGCTCCCCACTTGTCTCTGGTGAATCCTTTCACCACCCCTGCACCTCTGGCCTGTACCCCAGTTCTGTATGCATAAATAAATCTTTTTTAAAAAGGCAAATAAGTAAGGTCTTCAGCCCTATTCCCCCCAAGAAAGTATGCCCAATTTGCAATTTAAAGTTAGGAAAGCTCAAACTGGGGACAGAACAGAAACTGGCTACTTTTTTAGTCTAGATAGAAAGAATCACAAGTGAAAAAAATGCCCAGATCGTACCATTTGTGAAATTTGATTTTGGGTGGTATGAGAAATCTAAGCTAAAAAACAGCTTATATATATGAAACAACAACAACAATTACTAGTACAGGCCCAAAACTAATGAAAACCATAGATCTCAATGAGGGAAGAATAGAAAAATATGCCATAGGAAGCCTTTTCACAATCCAGAAGAACACTTGTGATTTCAATGATGGGGTGGAGAAGAATAAAAGGAGATCAAAAAATTATGAAGAATATATAAAACATATCACCACAAAAGTTAATCAATGCAGCAAATTTAAACATTTCCATCTGAGGTGTTATGGATAATAAAGCAATCTTAAAGAAACTTTAGATCATTAGCACATTCAGAACGATACAGGAAATGTTAAGGGGAAGGATGTCCTAAAGGAACTCTGCAGAGTTTTGAGGACTCCACCACCTATTCCAGCTTTCTGGACTCTACCCCCTACTCCAGTGATTGAAAACTACAACTACCAGCAGTACCAGGGAGAGACTGCGAGGACCCAAGGGTAGAGCTAAGCAGGCATTCTGGCACTTTGGGGAATAAATAGGGAGTCATTTTGTCCAATGGTCTATCTCACTTGAGAAACGGCTCTCGGGACCGTGTAACTCGGAGCTTTCCATTAATTTGTTAGCAGAGCTCCAAGTCAGCCCAGCTGTTACTCTGTATCCCTCTCTCTTGCCCTGTGTTGTTTTCTTTTTCCCTTTTGTAAATAAACCCATTATTGACCCTTTTGTGTGTGCCTGCAGTACAACTGAATTTTAAGCTCATGGGTGAGGCCCCATAGACAGGCAGCCCAGTTCATACTGGTGTGCCCTGTAACAGAAGGAATAGAATTTATCAGCAAGAAGGAATATAATATATAATAAAGAAAGAAAGAAGAAATGTAATATATAGACAGATCTGAGAAAGTACCAAATACAAACTCTGAAATGGAAATACAATTTTGAAATGAAAAAAGAGAAGAACAGTTACAATATAGGGTAAGTAGCAGACTAAATAGTCCTACAAGATAATAAATTAGTGAACCTCTGCAAGTACTTATTTATTTTTGTTTTGTTTTTATTTATAACATTGATGGAGCTACAAGGGATCATGCTCAGTGAAATAAATGAGAAAGAAAAAAAAAATCAAATGGTTTCCTTTATAGGAGGAATATAAGAGAACCAAATAAGACATAGGGAAAAATTTTGTATTCTTATTACGATACAAAACACCAGAAAATAAAACAAAAACAGGTAATTATAAGCCAGAGATATTCTGCAGATATTTAACAGAAAGAAAGAAAATAAAGTAAGAGGCAGAGACTTGGAAGAAGGCATGCCAAATTTTCTAGAATACTCGGAGAGAATAAGGGAAAATGGAAGAGAGACAAAGAGGTAACGGCAGAGAGTTGAAGAAGGCATACATACTTAAACTAAAAAAGTAGAGAGCAGCTCTGGTGGAAAAAAATATGAAAATAAATTACTTTATATTACAGATAAAGAGAATAATTTACAAACTACCAGAGAGAAAAGACATGATATTCTACAAAGAACTAACAATCAAATTAATGGCAGATTTCTCATTGATTCTACCATAATGAGAAAACTTCAACATGCAGAGAGAAAAACCTAGATTTCCACAGCTAGTTAAGTTAAAGTTATCATTTAAGAATTTTTTGGATAGATGAACACTATAAAACTTTATAAGACACAAACTCAAAGTATAATGGAATTATTTTTCCATTTACAGTTTAATGGAGTTGAAGTGGCAGCTATCAATGAATGTGAGTAGGGAATGTTTTTTCATTTCACAAACACTAAGTAACTATATGTTCCTGCCACTAGGCTATGTAGTTGAGCATAAAGATATTTTTATATACAAAAAAGGTCCTTAATCTTTTTTAAATTTTATAATACTTCATTTTTACATATTTTTGTGCATTTTTCCATCTCAGTTGCAATCCCATTGGGTTTCCCATCACCAAATCACCCATGTGCCATCACTATAGTCCATTGCATTTCCCTCCCCCCACTGTTTTTGATCCCATTCCCACTCAACCCCCACAAAATGTCTCTGGTATATGGCTGTTCATTATTCTTATTATTTTCTTGCCTGGTCCATTACACTCCTGCTATGAGCGAAACCATCCAGTACTTTTCTTCCTCTTTCTGGTTTATCTCACTAAG